GCGATGATTTAACACTGGATATACGGAAGGCACAAATGGAAGAGTTTCTATAAATTGCTAAAATTGTCAGGTCAGATCAAAAGAAACCAATTACTTTTTCTCTTTTCACTTTGTTAATAATCAACAACACAATGCTGTTTTCTTTTCTCCCAGTATCTACTGAAAAATTCACATGCATGTTTTCATGTATAAAAAGACAAATATACTTGGTTCAAGGATACCTTCTTTTACTCCAACCTTCATGTCCCTCCTTATTTTAATAACACTCAACGTGATATCGAGTTCCTTGAAGCAGTGAGATGGTTTAAGGAAAGAAGATATCTGCTCTTTAACAGCTGTGTGACACTGGACACTTATTCAGTCCTTCTGAGCCTTGACTCATTTCCGTGAAAATGCTAAATGCCAGCAGGAGAGGTAGGGAAGGACTGGCCAACCAGGCAGGATGAAATCAAGAAGAGTGTGACACACAGAAGCCAAGAGAAGAAAAAGTATCCTTTTTGGGAGGGAGTGGTCAATCATGCTGAAAGCTGCTGCAAAGACAGGTAAAAGAAGTTTCCACAGCAGCTGGCACCATGGAGGAATGTATCAGGACACAGACCAAAACTTCTAAACTGTTTTTGGTCCATCACTTCAAAACCATGGGATATCTTAAAAGAAAAAAAAAAAGACAGCATCTTTAATTACTGTATTATTTTAAGAGACTTCTTTACCAGATCCTATTTGTGTATTAAAACAAAACAAAGTCTGAGAACAAATTTTTACAACTACAGTTCCTCCTTTCAGTTTCAGCAATTTCTAGTTTCTCTGTGTCCATGTCAGGGAGAATTCTAAAAGATGGGAGTAAACGCATCCTAGACCACATAATTCAGGGTGGGTTCAGAAACATTTCCTCTTCATTGTAAGCACATCTGATAACAATGTTTTATGTAATGATGTGCAAGAGGTCTTTCAAATTCAGTCATTTCATAGATACCCTAAATTTAGGCAAATGTAATTTCTGAATATTAAGACAAAAACAAATATCATAATAAGCTTTTTTAAAAAATACATTTTATTGATTATGCTATTATAGTTGTCCCATTTTCCTCCCTTTATTCCCCTCCAATCTGCACACCCTCTCCTACCCACATTCCCCACTTTAGTTCATGTCCATGGGTCATACATATAAGTTCTTTGGCTTCTACATTTCCTATACTATTCTTACCCTCCCCCTGTCTATTTTCTACCTACCATTTATGCTACTTATTCTCTGTACCTTTTCCCCCTCTCTCCTCCTCCCACTCCCCGGCTGCTAACCCTCCATGTGATCTCCATTTCTGTGATTCTGTTCCTGTTCTAGTAGTAGGTCCTTGCCTTTCATGACTTGGAATGCTTCTTTCTAGCCCTTTCTTGCCTATAAGGTCTCTTTTGAGAAATCAGCTCACAGTCTGATGGGAACTCCTTCATAGGTAACTATCTCCTTATCTCTTGCTGCTTCTAGGAGTCTCTCCTTCATTTTTACCTTGGCTAATGTAATTATGATGTGCCCTGGTGTGTTCCTTTTTAGGTCTAACTTCTTTGGGACTCTCTGAGCTTCCTGGACTTCCTGGAAGTCTATTTCCTTTGCCAGAATGGGGAAGTTCTCCTTTAGTATTTGTTCAAATAATTTTTCCACTTGTTGCTTTTCCTCTTCTCTTTCTGGTACTCCTATGGTTTGGATGTTGGAACGTTTAAAGATGTTCTGGAGGTTCCTAAGCCTGTCCTCGTTTTTTTTTTTTTGAATTCTTGTTTCTTCATTCTTTTCTGTTTGATTGTTTCTTTCTTCCTTCTGGTCCACACCATTGATTTGAGTCCCAGTTTCCTTCCCATCAGTATTTCACTTAGGGTAGCCTTCATTTTTTCATCGAATTTGTGACCAAATTCAACCAATTCTGTGAGCATCCTGATCACCAGTGCTTTGAACTGTGCATCTGATAGGCTGGCGATCTCTTCATTGTTTAGTGGTACTTGGTTCTGGGGCTTTGATCTGTTCTTTCATCTGGGTCATTTTTTTTTTTTTTTTGTCTTGAGGTGCCTGTTACGTAGTAAGGGGTGGAGCCTTAGGTGTTCACCAGGGTGGGGCAACCCACATTGCTGTGTTGTGACCTGTTTGTGGGGGAGGGGTCCCAGAGGGAACAATGGTGCTTGCTCCACTCTCTGCCAGATTTCAGTCCCTTCTGCCACTTCCCCCAAGCAAACTGGGCCCTTCTGGTGCTGATTCCCAGGTGGGTGGGCTTGTGTATGTTCTAGGACCTTGTGGGTCTCTCCAATGAGCTCTCCTGTGAGGCTGGGAGTCTCTCCCCGTACCTCAACCCCCACAGGTGTTTTCTATCAGGTGTTTGAGGCTTTATTTCCCTATGTGGGAGCCCTGTGTTGTGCAGTCTCTTTCACTCCCCAATTGTTCCTCCCAGTTTATCTTGGGAATGTGGAACCGCCTGCTCCACCAGCCACCACTGGCCGAGAGTCCTCTCCGCCCAGCTTCCCATCTCTGCCCCTCCTACTGGTCTGGATGAATGTGTCTACTTTAACTTCTTGGTTGTCAGAATTCCACACAGTTCGATCATCTGTCAGTTCTGGTTGTTTTTTGTTTTTAAATTGTTGTCCTTTTTTTGGTTATGGGAGGAGGCACAGTGTGTGGACCTATGTCTCCATCTTGGCTGGAAATCCCAATAAGCTTTGGAGAAAGAAAAAACTGAGTCTTGAGAGTGACAGGATTGGTACAGTTATACAGCTTGCACATGTACCTGCATCAGCCACCCAAAGGCAAACCTCTCTGACTTTCATCTGCTTCCCCTCTGAGCACAACTTCCCTCACAAAGTCCATACTCACTGTCTCCGCTTTCTGACCAACCATTCTCTCTTGTACCAGCTTCAATCTGGCTACCTTCTCCACCACTCACAAATAAATGCATGCATGTCAAGATCACAACATCTTTATGTGGTCTAACCCAAAGGTCACTTCTCTCCCTCCTTTTATATATACCCGTCAACAGCATCCAACACCCCACTCCTACCTTCTTCACTTTTTGTCCTAGCTTTTGGTGTCTGAGTTTTCTCTACATTAATTTCCCCAGCTTCTCTGCTGGCTCCTCATCTTCCTCCCAAACACTTCTCTCACTTTTCTCTCTCCCTAGTGATTTCAATGTGCTCAGATTTTAAAGTATTTATAGACCAAATGTTCCAGTCTTTCCAGTGAGCTGCTGACTTGTAGACCCCACTGAGTCCTCAATATTGAACAGCTATTTGGGCATCTCAAACAGAATGCATGCAAAACTGGAAACTTTGTTTTCCCCTCCACAGCATGCCCCATCCCATTCTGTGTTATCTTACCCAGCTGCTCAAGTCAGAGGCAGAGAAATCATTCTCGGCACTCTCATTTTCCTCTTCTCCACATTCGATTGACAGAAGGCCTGCTAGTCCCACTGCCAAAACATGTCCCAAACAGGTCTGCTTCTTGTGTCTGTCACTGATGCCACCAGGAACTCTATTATAGATGACTGTAGTGTTCTAACCCTGCTCATTGCTCTCTGTGTGCTGCCTGTATCCACCCAACACAGGAACCAGAGCTGCACTATAAATTCACAAGAGAGAGCATGAGCATTCCCTGCTGAAGGCCCTGGCATGGCTTCCATAGCACTTGGAGTAAGGCTCTCAGACCCGGCTCCTGCCTGCTCTCCTTGCCCCTTAAGCCACACTGCCCTCTTCTCTGCACCTGCATCCCAAGCCCTTTCCTACCTCAAGGCCTTCCTGCATCTCTCAGAGGCACTATCCAACTCCTCACTGTAAATCACTGTGCTCCCTTCTCCCTACTTCTTACCACCTGTAACTAGCTATGCACATGACAGTGTCCCTGCTAAGTGGAAGCTTTGTGAGAACATGGCCCTGTCCACGTGGCTGTAGCTGTCCCACTAGCCAAGTGAACAGATGCGAGAATAGCAGTGCTGGGTGGGGACTGCAGGGCTTCCGGCTGGCTCTCCTGAACAATGGATGAGTCAGCTCTGGTGGCAGCCGTTAGCATGTGAGCAGGGACTTCTCTGTAGGAAGAGCTGCCTTGCTGCATGAAAGCATCATCCTCCAGGGTCACATTGGGCACAGCAGTTCCCTTAGACTTGGGCCTCCATGGGCAGTCACTATGGAGTGGTGGGTTTATTTAAAACAGTGACAACAGGGAGCCCAAGGCCTGTCAGGCAGGCTTCTGCCCAGGAAGTGGCCTGGCCTTGGGGGCTGCCATCTAAAGTGGGGGTGATTCCTGAATGGCTGCCTTCCCACCTGTCTGATTGTGGACTCCAAACACTTGGCTCTAGTCTAGAGGGGGTGGGATGAAATCTTCCATTGCCATAGCAACCACAGTCCAAGGCCTAAGCTGGAGGTTTCAGATAAACAACTATTCAGAGAAGAAGACAAGGAACAAAGCAGAGAGGGACAAAAAATGGAAAAAAAGGCAAGAAGTAATCCTACAGGTGCTGTAAGACACTCTGAAAACAAAACTGTGGGGCTGGGAGGAGAACCCTCCCACAGGAGTGGCCTCCTGATGGGACGGATCCTGAACAAAAGGCCCCATTGACACAAACATCTGTTACTACTAAACACTTAGCAATCGATATTTCCTAAAGTGTTTTTTTTTCCTTTTGACTTTAAAGGGTTACTGTCTGACAGGCTACAAAACCTACCCTTCTCCAAGTCCCTAGCTACCACATGAAGTGACTATTAGAACTTCAAACAAAGAATTTGGTCCCTGAAATGGCCTTGTGATAGTTTTTTCCTAAATAGAGTGACACCAGAAAAATGTCAGAAGGCAAATCCAAACCTACACCCTGAAAGATTTAAAACATAACCACCACATCTTTGGGAGGATGAGTAACTTCGTCCAATCTATTTTTCAAAGGACACAGCAGATTTAATACATGGATTAAATGTGTATTGAAGGGAAGGAGGAGCAGGAGGGAGAGGAGAGAAAGTAGACAGATCACATGGTGCTTTACCTCAACACCTGCATCTCCTCTGGGGAGTTCTGCAACTCGTCTTGCAGGCGACGCCAGCGCAGGCAAGCCCGCAGCTCCTGCTGTTCCTGGGCCTCATGGGGGGCCAGCTGCTTAAACCACAGACACACAAATACACATGCACAATACACAGTTACTGTTGTCCTCCTGCAAGGTCAGAGCCACGCAATGAAGCAGCTGGCTTTATGTAAGGGAGGGTAGTAAACATGGGCTACCTGCTGCACCTTACACCCCATCAGAAAAACCAGGAGGCCAAAGGGGCCTCTTAGGTCCTCAAAGGAAGAACCAACTATTCTCTCTCTTGCTGCCCATTTGGGAGACACCTCCTGGTCCAGGAACCCCACCTACTGCCACCCCACCCTAGAGAGAGCAGGCCTCCCTAAAGGGCCATTTTGACCCTGATTCCATCCAGTCCTTTCCTGCGTTGTCTTCTGCACAGGGTGAGGAAGGTCCCTCAATTTACCTCCTATTTCTCCAGCCCTCAGTTTTGTTAAAAGCTGTTTAGGGTGGAGCCTGCTAATGCAACCCAGACCACTCTGTTTGCATATAACCAGAAACAGTGTACTGCCTGGACTCATTCTGTGGGAGCAGGAGGCAACTGCACCCTGCCCTCTGTCACTCTTGTGCTCACTAGGTCCTATGGCTATAATCTCCTTAAGGGAGGGCAGCAAAATATCCACTGGGGAGGAAACGTCAGTACTTAGAGGCATTTCTGGGAATTAAAGGTCTTTAATAGTTCATTCAACAGACATTTAGAGTCTCTGCTAGGCCCTGGCAATATTACAGACATAGCCCCATAGCTCTATAGCCCCATGGAGTCTAGCATGTGGCAGGGCTGGAGGTGTGGGGGAGCATGGGATAAGAGCACTAACATCAGAGTACAGTGATGACAGAGGTGAAGGAAGAAGCCAAATGCCCCCTGGCCAAACAGGGTGGTCAGAAGGCTTTCCTGAGAAGGTGGTAGGACCTGAGCTGGTCTCCAGGGAAAGCAGGAGACAACCAGGGGAGGAAGAGTTCAGGAAGAGGGAAAGCATGTGCAAGGCTCGTGGGGCCTGGAAAGAGCATAACATGGTTAAAGAACAACAAGGGATGTCGTCAGATGAGAAGCAGGCTGCCATCTGGAGAGGGACAAAGGTGCCAAGGAGTCAGCAGAGCCAGATAATCAACACACTCGGTATGTCCTGTTGTTATGGACTGAGTTATGTCCCCCTACCCGAAATTCATGTTGAAGCTCTCACCCTAAATGGGACTGTATTGGATATGGGGCTTTTTTTTTATCCTCACCCAATGATAATTGATTTTAGAGAAGGAAGAAGAAGGTTGGGTGGAGAGAGAGAGACAGACAACGAGAGAGAGAGAGAGAGAGAGAGAGAGAGAGAGAGATCGACGTGAGACAGAAACATCCATTTGATTACTTTCATACACGATCTGACTAGGGATGGAACTTGCAGCTAGTTATGTGCCCTGACCAGGAATTGAACCTGCAACCTTTTGGTATATGGCAGTGGTCCCCAACCTTTTTGGCACCAAGGACAAGTTTCATGGAAGACAATTTTTCCACAGACTGAGGGCAGGGGGATGGCTTTATGGCCTGCCATCAGATGCAGCTTAATTGTCACTTGCCATGCACTGATAGGGTTTTGATATGAGTCTACACATAATTGATTTAGTATAGTCTCTGTGCAAACCTCTCTACTAATGATAATCTGTATTTGCAGCCACTCCCCAGCACTAGTAACACTGCCTCAGCTCCACCTCAGAGCATCAGGCATTAGATTCTCATAAGGAGCGCACAACCTAGATCCCCTGCATGTGCAGTTCACAGTAGTATTTGAGCTCCTATGAGAATAATGCCATCACTGATCTGACAGGATGTGGAGCTCAGGCAGTAATGCAAGTGATGGGAAGTGGCTGTAAATACTGACGAAGCTTCACTGGCTAGCCCACCTGATCACCTCCTGTTGTGTGGCCCAGTTTCTAACAGGCCATGGAAGTACTATCCCATGACCTGGATATTGGGGACCCCTGGTGTATGGGATGATCTTCCAACCAATTGAACCACTCAGCCAGGGTGTAAATAGGGCTTTCAAAGATGTAAATAAGGTCATAGAGGTGGGGCCCTAATTCAACAGGACTGGTGTCCTTATTAAAAGAGGAAACACCAGCCCTCTCTCTCTCTCTCCCTCTCATTCCCTCTCCCTCCCTCCCCCACCCCTCCCTCTCTCCCCATGTGCACAGAGGACACAGTGAGAAGATGGCCATCGCCAAGCCAGACAAGAGAGAAATCAAGCCTGTCAGCACCTTGATCTTGGACTTCCAGCCTCTAGAACTGTGAGAAAACATATGTGTGTTTAAGCCTCCTAGTCTGTGGTATTTGTCATGGCAGCCAGGCTGCTTAAGACACCTGTGAAAGAGTTTAGACTTTATCCAGGTCAATGACAAGTTGTATGATTCAATCTTGCAACTAACTCAATTCACTTTTCTCTACAGAATGCTACTCTGAGCAGAATGTGGATTTCTATCTCCTTGTTCAATGATTTCTCACCCCACAACTTTGCCACGCTTGCTAATTAATGCTCGGTGCTGCAGAGTGACCAATGTGACCTCACACTGTTTTCACTGGGGGGTCCAACTGCTGACCAGGAGAATCCCATGAGGTGGCCCACCCTCCCCTGCCCTGAAGAGCACTCCTCTCCTGCCTGGAAGGTCTGCTGTGGGCACTTGTCAGGGACCAGCAGCAGCTCCGTCTTACTTGCTCTTCAAGGAAGGCATCAAGAGTGATGGACATGCTTGGGAAATATTTCCAAATTTTGTGCTGATTCAAGAATGGCCACTTTGCCTCAGGGGTGTTTGTGTTTTTACATACTGAGAGTTACTGCATGCACCTTGAAGGATGATGAGCTGAGGTGCCCCCTGTGAGGGATGAGATGCCTCAGCTCCTACTTTGCCTTAGAGCTCATCTCAGAAGTCACCTCCTTCAATGGGACTCCCTGGGTCTTCTCAGACCAGGCCTCTCCCACCTTAGAGCTTCCACAGTGTTTGGTGTTTATCTCTCTTTTATAACTTATTTTCTTCTTCCTTCCTCTGTGTGCTTTTCTTACCTCCTCAATTAGACTATGACCTCTTTCAGAGCAGGGTGTGTGTTACTCATCCTTTTATTCCTCTAGCTCGAGCAAACACAGGGAAGGTGTGCAGCTGTGATAAGCAGCCAGGCCAGCTTGGTGCCTGTGTTGGTAAATGTATGTATTCACAGAAGTTTGAGGCACAACCCCTGTAGAGTCTCAGGAGTGACCCTCTGGCAGTTCAGGCAGAGGAAAAGGTTAAGGAAGGAGTGCTTTCTGGGGATGAAGAAGAGAAAAGGACAGAAACATTGTCATCAGATGCCTGAAATATATTCATGATTACCAAGAATAGTACAAATCTGATTGTCTCAGGATGGAAGCACTCCAGGGAAGGGACGGTGATAGAGGCACTTTATATGAAAACTAACCTGTGCTGAATGCCTACTATGTGTCAGACACTGTGCTAGGCTCATTTACACATTAAACTATTCTCAGACCCATTTTACAAATGCAACTAAGGCTCAGGGAGGCTGTAAGCAGCAGAGCTGGGATTCCAAGCCTGGTCAGACTCTGCACCCAGCCACTTTCCTCAAATCTGCCGTGTGGCCTCTCTTCATGCAACTCTCTGAGGCAGAGGACACAGATGTGCACACTACTAGCTCTACAGGGGTGGGAGGTTGAGCAAGGCACAGCTCTACTTTGAAAGAGATCATAAGCTAGTTGTGAGGACAGAAGGAAGAAGAAGAAAGTGGAAAAAAACAGGTAAGTTAGTACCAAATACTGTGGGAGTTCAAAGTTTCTAGAAGAGTAGTATTGAGTTGAGTTGTGAGTGAAATGATCAGTCTGGGCTATCCAGAGAATGTGACCCTGAGCTAGATGGTGAAAAATAAATAGGATTTCAACATGCAGAAGGAATTTGAACAAAATCATAAAGGTATTGCACAAACTTGGGAACTTCAGAAAATGATAAATAGTCGAGTGTGTAAGGAGCAGAAAAGATAGGGAAACAAGTGACCAAATATTAGGAATAATAAAATAAGCAGAAAGTGGCTTAGTTGCCATATCTCCATTAGAATTGGTAGCCAATTTTTAAAGTAGAGGTTATACTGGGAATGTGCTGATCAGGTCTGGCGTCTGTGTATGTTGGTTCACATAATATTTTTTAAATTAGTAGATTTCACAGAAAAATCCAATTTTTAAAACTTTCTTCAAAAAACTACTGTTACAGGGTGCAGCCAAGAGGGGGGACCCCAAATGGGCATTTGAAACGGGTTCCAGAACTCATTGGGAGAAAGGGCACACAGAGCAAGAACATGCAGGGCAGCTTTGCAGCTACCCTCTGGCATGGTCATTTAACATATCTATGGCCTTTGGCTGGTTACATAGATATGCTAAATAGCTGTGGCCAAGCTCTGAGCCAGGGGAATGGGAGTAACTTCCCCACCAAGATGTAACTGGGGGGCAGGTCCCCCAAGTTACAGCGCCTGTGTGGGAGCTGGAGAAGATTGGCTCCATGACATGGGGTTGCGCCTGCCCAGACCCACAATGATGACCAGTAAAGCTGGAAAGGACAGCAGATTGAGGGCATGTGAGGCCGATTGTAGGATGAGTTGGAAATGGGGCTACAGAGGAAGGCTGGCATGGGGATTTAAAAACCGAGACAAGGCAGCCAATGGGGAGGGGAAGAACCATGTGTCTTTAGCAGAGTAAGGACTCCCGCAGCCCTGCAAGAGAGAATCACCATGCGGCTTTAGCAGAGAATTGCCACTCGGCTTTGGCAGAGTGGCGACCCCCCCACCCCTACCCCCACCCCCACCATCCCCATAGCCAGGAGGAAGAACCACACGGTTTTGGCTGAGTGGGGACTCCCGTGGTCCTGGGAGAGGGGACCACGTGCCTGTGCCAGAGTGGGGACCCCCAAAGCTTTAGAAGGGGGAACCACCACCCAGCTTTAGCAGAGATTCTGGCGACTCAGCTGAGGGTGCTGGGAACCCAGAGAGGTCTCCCAGTCGAGATGGATTATTAAGAAGAACCAGGGGCTGCCTGAGCTACGAACTTCTATTTCCTTTCCTGAGATACGGTACTCTGGACTGGGCAAAGGGGGAAGGAAGGACTGTGTCTGTTTGTGAGTGTTTTAAGGGACTTTAGGATTTTGATGAAGACATTAGGTCACTACTTTAAGTCTGTACAGCATAAAATAAACGTTTCCTTTTCTTTTCATGAATCTCTGGCATTGAGAGACATCTTTCCTATAGACAGCAGACATAACAGACCTGGGGGTTTCTTTCAGTAATAGTATATCGTCCCAGGCCCCCCTTGTTTGTTCTGTAACACTAGGAGTCTAGGCTATCTTGAGTCCTCCCATCAACAGGACAATTGGTTAGAGTTCAGGACCCATCCACCTGATGCCAGTTTGCCACAGTTGTTACCATTCCCTAATCTGTAACATCAACCACTTCATTCTTCATTACTTGCCAGCAGACATCTGAGATTATGCCTCCTGATTTAACTTGTAACCTCACTATTTAGCAAAACAAAACAAAACACAATGTCACATAACCACAAAGGAGAGCTCTGAGTAACCACATCATGACCTTTTTTGCAGGTCTTTGCTCCAATGCCCGCCCCCTTATCAGAGATGCCTTCTCCTGAGCCTTCTAAAACAACACTCCCTCAGCCACTTTGCTTCATTTTCTTCCTACTACTCATCAGCACCTGACATGTTATACTATGTGTGTTTGTCGATTCTCTCTCCTGTGGCTCTACTGTGAATCCCAAAGGGCAAGGGCTTCCCCTTTCATTTATACAGCTCTCTCTCAGCAAAAAAGAACAGTGTCTGGTGCATAATAAGCACTTAGTACATATCTGTTGAATGAACCAATGACTATGACTAGAATTTGACTCCAGGAAGTGAAATGTTTAGGGTCACTTTAAACATACCTTCTGTGCTTTGGCCCAGAATACATCTTCCAAGTGAGTGGCAAACCCTTCACTCAGCCACTCTTCCGTCCAATCACGGGCCCCGATGGCTAGGCCAAACCAGGCATGCGCAATTTCGTGGCAGAGACGGATCCCACAAAGATGGCTCCCTCCAGTCAAAGTACTCTGAGACAGGAAGACAATGTGTGGGCTGTGGATAATGGTGGAGAAAACAGAGAGAGTCTTGTTAGAGCCCGTCGGATGGCTGCCCCACAGGGTGGCGTGCTCAGTCTGGCACTATTACCGTGTGCATGTAAGATCATGACAGATAGACTTGCAGCTCAGAGGCTTCTAGAAATACAGAAAGCGGCAGTTTACATCTCTGGCAGTGGTTCAAGTTACTGTTTTTGCCAAGCATTCATCTCCGTCATCAACGGCTATTACCTGTAATAAGTAACCTGCAGCCCAGTTCTACAATGGAGAAATTACAATGCAATGGAAGTGTTTACTCGGAAATCTGGGCTGTGAAAGACAGCAGGTGTGAGAGTGTGAAGCCCATGCTGTCAAGAGATGATCAAAGAAGACCCTTCAGCCAAAAATCTGAGCGGCTTACCAACAAATTGACAAGTCATGCAGAAGGACAGGAAAAGCCAAGAAGAATGGAATCCAAAATTTTCCATTTCTGAAAGGGGCTGGTTAAAAAGTTAACAAACTAACAGGTGCCAGGAATGGATGACTTTTCCTGGACACTCAAATAAAAGTTGAGTCTCCGTAAGGCCAAGATTGTCAATGGTATCACCTCCCACCTGCAGATGCTTACATATTCACATGGCATAAGAACATTATGCAGAGAGAGAGAGAGAGAGAGAGAGAGAGAGAGAGAGAGAAAGAGAGAGAGAGAAGAGAGAGAAGGGAGGTAACCCACCCAGGTGTGCAAACGGCCCCAGGGCTGGCACCAGTCAGGGAGATCTATCTAATCTCATTTTCCGTACTTTGTTTTGAAACCTAAAATACCATGATTAGAACTGCACAGATGAAATGGGAGGGAGGGAGGCTAAAGAGAGAAGAGACAAACAGAATACTGCCTATGCTTCCACCTTCAGCATTTCTCATTATCCAGGACTTATTTACAGTCTTGTTAATGAAGAATTTGCTCTTTAAAAAATTCCTCTATAAATTTAACAAAGCAGTTGTGAAACCTCCCGAATTAAGAAACTGTACACACTGGTTTCGTCCTTCAAAAGCCATTTGTGAGCCATCATACCGGCTCAGCACAAGCCAGGACTGCTTACAGATTTGTTCTCTGCCCCCACGGCCACCAGTAGAGAAAACCCCACCTGTATTTCTCTTGCACAACATCCCCCATTCAGCTCAGACAGCCCAATTGAAATCATGAAGTCACGTGCCAAAATAGACAGCTTTTATGTGAAATAATAACAGGGCAAACACACAAATGAAAAAGCATCTGCCAAGCTCTCAGCAGACTCCACCAGAAACTCCAGATAATAAAAGGGCAATGGAAGCATTTAGGACATGGGGGCAACCACAGTATTTCAGAGCACTAATTCAGGAAAAAAAGGAAGGGAGGATGGGAGGAAGGTAGCAAAAAGGGAAAGGAGGACGAAAACTGAGAAGCACAGGAGCTGAAAACTTTCCCTTACTGAGAAAGTAGCCTGTGGAGAAGACAAACTGTGCAACCTAGCACTTTCAGTAAATGACCCCTTGCTCTGGCATGTGCAGTGCTACAAAGAAAAGCCACAGAAATGTACCAAGTAAATAACATTCCAGACATACTGTTGGCAGCACTTCACCCTTTGGGCTAAAACAAAACACAAGTAACATCAGGCCTTATAAACAGCTCAAAGACAAGCCTGCATCAGAAGGGTCTGCCAGCTAGATACCCAGGCGGTGCATGCAGAGTGGTTACAGAGACTCTAAGGCTGATCCGTCTGCTCCACCCAGGAATGATGCACAAGCTGATGACTGTTCATAGAGGGAAAAAAGCCTGCCCTGTCTTTGCTGACCTTTCTCCCAGTGGTGAAGCCTATCCAAGGCCCATTTATGCAAATATCAAAGCCTGAGATGGCCTGAAGGAGCTAGGTGTATGGGGGAGGGGAAGGCCTTGTGTGTTCCAGCCCTTTAATTGTTCCCCTCCAGCAGTCTTTCCTCAACACACCTCCTTCCCCACCTGGCAGTAACGTGGCAAACACCATCCTGGTCCGGGTGCAGCTAGGCTAGGCTCAGGACTGGCCCTGGCATTGCTGGAATGCCAGGGCATTCCACCTAAATTCCACCTAAATTCCCACTTTCCATTCTCAATCCTTTCTTCCTGGCTGGGGATAAATGTATTTCCTACTGTCCTCTGAGAAAGATGGAAACTTCAACATCCTCCTACACAGGAAGGAAGGGCGTTCACTGGACATAATTTCCAACCTATTATCAGTGGAAAATGTGAACTTCTCCCTGAGAGGCAATTTTCCAGTTGAGAACCAGACCCCAAATCCTCCTGCAGTGGAGTATGCCCTCTGAGGTTGGGTTTTACCTGTGGGGTTATATTTCCTTATGAAGGAAATGGATTCTTTCTTAAAACTAAATTAAAACATGAGTGAGGTTTCGATAGCCTTTCTCAAGGGTTGTTAACAAAATCCTGATAATAAAATACTTTTTCAAGGAGAATTTCCTCTTCCTTTTGACCCTAAATATGAACCAGAATTTCTCATGTTAAGTAGAATTTTTAAATTTTATTTTCAACAGTGAGTGAAGAAAAGTATAATGTTCTTAAGTTCACTTCAAGGAATAATATTAAATATTCCTTTACCATGCCAACCTTCAAAACAGAATGAGCGGTTTAGAATTTTCTACACCTACCTTAACCTTGATTTATACGTATCACCTCTTGGCTCCTCTCAGAACCTTACTCATGGCCTACTCAGCCAACAGTCCATCAGTCTTCCCTCTGACAGTGCCTATTTGAAAACAGCTTTCCTTTTTTCTTTCTCCCCCCTGAAAGGGCTTGTGTCAACTGCCTCTACAAATGCCAAATTGTCGATTCATCATTACAGAGGATGAAAGATATTCACTAGAATATTTTCATCAGAAAAATTATTTTTTTAAATTGCAGAGTTTATCATTTTTCCCCAATAAGAGAAGGGCAGGAAAATAATATTTTCAACCCTCAAAAAGCACACGCCCTCTTGCTTGTGTTCTCCACAATAAATTCTCTTTCCCTACAAGTGCTCGAGGACCACAGGGGCAGAGCAGGACTGGTGGGGAGTGACGTAGGACACGTGTTCTCATTCTTTCCCAGGAGACCACCAGCGGGGCTGCCTCCCCACAAAGGCCACGTGTTATTGCATGTCTGCTACTCTGCCCTGCCGAGATTAAAAATACCATTTCTGGTCTGAAAGTTTCTTAACACTGTTCCTAAAAACTACTTCCCCACCCAGATGAGAAGGCTGTGTCTGTTAATTTCAAAGATGCTTCTACCAGAGAAGGAAGGAGTGCCTTCATCACTCTCAGGAGCTGCTCCAATCCTTTGGGAGGTATTCAATTTGGAGGGGAAATGAAGAATTTCATCAGATCTTAAGTAGGGGCTGGTTGTGATTTATTTCTGCTTTGTCCAGGGAGATGGGACCAGCGTGGGCCAGGTTGCTGCTCAGCACTTAAGGGCTCAGGCTGCCTCAGCTGGTCAGAGCAGGCTGTGGGTGGGACCAAGAGGACAGGAAATAGCTCTTGGTGTAGCATAAGCAGAGCCCTAGGCCAGCCTCCCCTTATCCTGGAGCAGATACCAGTTCCCCTCAGGGGAAGCAGATTCACTTTATATACAGATCCCTGGGAGGTGCATCTAGGAAATGGAGATATGTCCAGGAAATACACTTAATCAAACTTGAACTTCTCGTGGCTTCAGAGTTTTTCTCAATTTCAATGACACATGGAGTCCAATTTCCCATTATAGAAAAGAAGAACCAAGAAAGAGGAAAACAGGCTCCTTTCCCTCCAAAGTCAAACTGGATCTAAGTGTTTCGTAACCACATGAAAGCAACTTTTGCTTACAGAACGTGATTACTTGCTAATTTAATCGGGATAACTGTATAATAGACTCACAGAAGCCTGGGGCAATCTGAAAGGGGGGACAATTGTCCTCACCCCTCCCTAAGGTTCAGAACAGGTTTTCTCTTTCCTTCATAACATGTGACATGGTATTTGCCAGCGCTTGGACCAAATGCTCAGCTCCTTCCCCTTCATCTCTGCAATGAAATCCCTTGGTCCCTCTCCTGGATATAATCCAATATAGGGGATATATGTGTTGTCCCAAAGGCAAAGGATGGCCTGGGTGGCCTGGCAGGGTCCCTGCTCCCTTCTGGCTCTCAGACTGCTCTGTAGGTACCAGTCACCTTCATTTGACTCATCTGGCATCCTGCTATAACCACAAAGTCAGTCTTTAAACTGCAGCCCTAATTAGGAGATGAAGGAATGTTCTTTTGGGGATATAAGACTTCCAATAGCCTGAGGTGGAAACCAGTTCTAAAAACTTGAGGAAAACTTACTACATCTGATTAACATGTGGATTTAGGTTTGAGAGAAAAAGATAACATTAGTCAGTGGTTTTCTTTAAAAATTCTGAATAGCAAATATCTACTCATTTATCTAAACGAGTTTTGGTTTAGAATGTCAATGTGACTACAATAGAAAATAAGTGATCTACATTCCAGAGACTCCCACCAAAAGCATATCCTCCTTCTAAAGACTCTTTGGAATCTTTAGACTCAATGGTAGGCACAGTATTTCACATGCATTTTCTTATTTAATCTACCTCATGACCTCAGGAGATAGATTTTATTATCCCCATTTTACAGATGATGAAAGCGAGACACAGAGAAGTTAGTATCTTGCTCAAGGTCACACAGCTGGCAAGTAATGGAGCAAATAATTTAATTCACTGAAGCCTTATTCTGACCCACTCTGACAGAATCACTGGGGTTAGACCTGTGACTTTAGGACTTCCATCCTTCTACGCCAGCTGAAGCCCAGTGGTGCATGGTCATTGCTCTTCCTAAAGTTCCTTCTTCAGAGCCCACCCAAGGGAAGCCCTGGGACCTCTGTTACTTAAATTCCCATCACAGCCAGAGCTGGCTTGAGGTTACCAGGCCTTTTGATCAGCAAAGCTTTGGTCTCTTCCTGGGGAGAAGGCAGGTAGGAAAGAGGCTCAGT